AAAACGTAATGTAGTAGTATATAAATTAAATACACAAGTAAAGAATCAGAGAGAGGAAGCACAAAAAAGAAGACAAACAAATAGCAGCATTCAAATCAATCAAGCAGAAAATGGTAGTGTCATTGCTGGGCAATTACATGAACAACCGGGTGCAAAACGCCAACGTAGAGCTACAAGTAATTATGAGAAAAAAATCCTTGAAGAATTACTTAACTATAATACATTTCCAGAAAATAAATCTGTCAAAATTTTAAGAAAAATTTGAGAACAAAGTAATGATTGGGACATGCAGCATGTGCGAATATACTGGAACAACAATCATTATAACAAGCAAAAAAAAATTTCTTCAGATGTGTAAAAGTCTGCATTTTAAAATTATTTGAATGTCATAAAGAAATAACTGGAAATCTTATTAGCATTAGTGTTAGCATTAGCGTTAGATAGAAATTCATATTAACGTTAAAGCGATAGACTTAACATTAAGGTTTTAATGGGTCATATTGATATCAATATCGATATACTGTTATTGTTATATGGTTTAAGAAATGATTAGACCAGAATCAAGCGAAAGCAAGTAAGTTAGGTTTCAAAAGAATCTATTTCAGTTAAAATAGGCGATGTATTTTGAAATAATGATAAGTTATTTACTAATTTTATTTTCGCGTTGAAATAAAGATAACTCAGTTGTGTTATAAATGGTAGAAGTATTACTCCAGTAGTTTATTACTTATCTTCAAGTTCAGTCTAAAATAAATCGTCTAAATATACTCTACCACTACCGCTACATTGACCCTATTATCTTTGTAATAACGATAGCGATAGTCATGCCAAATTCTAAAACCCAAGTTGAGTCTTGACCTTTAACCTTGATTCGTAAATTGGTGTTGAAACCTTCTTATAACACTTTCGATTTTTACTCAGAATAATGATAAAAGAGAGAGAGAAAGATCGATTAGTGATCTAAAACCTCTTTTATAACGATAATGATAACAAAACAATACTTGATTTAAACTCTGATCAACATCATTGTTATCATTACCGTTACGCTATCGCTATTGAAGATCACACTTTAATCCCGTGACCTACGTGACGATCATTAAGAATCTTGACAATCGAATCAAAGACAAAAGCCCCGATATATTTGAAACAAAGAAGAAGAATTACTTTTAGCTTCCTACTGAAGCTTATAAGCCACTGATAGAAGGATAGTTCAAAGCTATATTTATCTTAACCTCCAGTAACGCCGCAGCAAGACTCAAAAGATCTTAGGACTCGGACCAAGTCTCTCCATGCCACTTTCTGCTTGCCAACTCAAGGTTTTAAGAGTCTTTGAATTCTAGATTAGTTTCTTGATATTGAAGTTTAAATATTAACCAATTAGTTATCACCTTTTCAACTTATTAGTGTTAGTTTTAGCATTAGCATTAGCAAACTAATCAAAAGGATAATGTTAATTTTTTTTTTTGACTCTTATCATTATTGTTATATTTTTTTATAAAAAACAATATGTATAAATATTATTTTCTAATATATCGATATCGATATATATTGATATTATCGTTATCGTTATCTGTTATCGTTAATATAATTGCTTAAGGTTAAGATGCTTTAACATTAATGTTGAAAAGGTGATGACTAATTGTTTTAAGATTAAGACTAACTAACTACAGCACTCAAACAACTAATTCACAATCCAAAAGCTCTCAAAACCCTGAATTTGTAGGCAAAAAGAGGCGTAGAAAGACTTGATCTGAGTCTCAAGGTCTTTTCGAGTCTTACTGTGGCGATATTGAAGTCCAAGCTAAGTATAATTGCGAATTACCCTTTAATCAATCACTTCTAGGCTTTAATAAAAGTCTAAAAGTGATTCTTCTTAATTTTAAGTATACCGGGGCTTTAGTTTTCGATTTTATCGCTAAGCTTCTCAACAATCATCACATGAATCACGGGATTCACAAAATTGTATTTAATTAGCGTTAGCGTTAGTGTTAGAGGTAATGGTAATGGTAATAATGACGTTTGATCAAGGTTTGATCAATTATTGTTTTGTTATAAATAAGGTCTGAATTATTAATCAACGCTTTCTCTTTCTTACTCTGGGCAAAAATCGAAAGTATAGCGAAAACAAAATCAAGAAAGGTTCTAAGGTATTTTACTAATAAAAGTTGATCGGGTATCAGAAGGAACTTAGAGTTGACACTTCTACTCGAATTTCGAAGGTCAAGACTCAACTTAGAATCTACGATTTAACACAGTTTAACAAATAATGGTAAAAATTATTGAACGTTTTATTAGGAATGAAGAAGATAAGTATTAACTACTTGGAGTTACTACTTCTGCTGTTATGCTTTCAAAGTGTTTAACTCTACTGAGTTATTCTTGATTTCCACGTGAAGATGCTCCGCTTTTATATATTTTTACAGGGTTAAATATTCAAGTTCTCTCTTAGATTTATTCGCTAAGCGGATAAATCTACTAACTCTACTAAAGTGGCTAAAGTGACTAAGGCAGATAAATTCGCTAAAGCGAATTTATCCAACTTAATGAACCTATCGCTATCCAGGTGCAGAGACCTCCCAGATCTTAATAACTAAGCTAAGTAAAAAATAATATATATATATATACTAATAATAAAACAAAAATGCTAACACTAAGACTAAAATAATGATAAAAATTTCATAGGTCAGATGACTGAAGCCCCTCACAAAAGCTTGCAAAATTGGTAGCTGTTTTCCTATTGCTATCGCTATTTATCGAATAAAATCAGCTTTAAAGAATTAACGTTAAAAACTTTTTAACATTAAGGCGAGACCAATTTAATTCGGTGGTTTACGTTACATCCTTTTCACAAAAGAGGGGAAAACTGGAGGGAGTTTTTCCGAAAATGATCCACATTATTATAAAAATTTTCCAAAATTTTCTGCATATATAGCGATAGCGATAGTGAAGAGGGGGAGAGGGGGGAGGGGGTAACGTAAACTACCGAATTAAATTGGTCTCGCCTAATGTTAATAAATTATATCAATATTATCATTATCGTTATATAGTAAACTTTGCTTACCACTACAAAGTATAGCAATAGTAAAAATTTTAAATTTTATTCGCTAGCACTAGCACTAGCAGAATTTACCATTACTATCGCTATATAACGATAATGACTATATACCAGCATGGTTGAAGTTCATTATTATTGGCCGTTTAATTGATCTGATCAGATACTGATCAGATAATTATATTAAATTTCGATTGGTTAATTAGTGGACTTTTGGTAAAAAAAATTGAGGTTTGCACATCAAATTTAATGAACTAAAACTTTTTTTAAAATAAAAAATATGAACTTGGTAGAGTATTTTTTTACTTTATTTTCATATAAAAGTTGTAGATCACAGTAGATCTCACGTTTTAAAAAGGTTTATTATAGGTAAAATTACCAGCAAAATACTGACTCAAGTGTATTTACAAAATTATTATGGACTTCTGAAATGCCTTCTAGCTCCGTTTGGTCATCAGAATCATCTGCTTCTGGGGTGGACTCTTCCTTGTCTTGTAGTTCCTCATTGGTAAGAACATTCAAACCTTTTTCTAAACATTTAATGAACATTTTTACATTATAATTAATACCTTTCTTGTAATATTCTTCACAATGGTTGCAACTGTAATATAATTCATTATAACATTTATAATGGTATCCGTGACCACAGGTTAAAACCTCTCCTTCATTCAGTATGTTATAGCAATAGTCGCAAGTATTTATAGAAGGTGGAAAACTTGTACTGAACCCTGTAGATAAGCATTTTACATCTACAACTTGATCTAAAGAAACCAAACGATATAGTGAATATTTTTGTTTTTTGTAAAGTTTACTCTTTCCTTGACTTTTAAATATTTTAAAAAAGTAATCTAAAAGAAATATT